ACATACATACATACATACATACATACATACATACATACATACATACACACACTCGTGGTGTTGCTTTGTTGCTTGTGGATTGAAGCGCGTGTGCATTATTCAGGGGGAATGAATGTGGGTTGTCAATTCTAAGCTGCGTATGAAAAACATCACGTGTCTTTCTTGCAAACCTCAGCATCGCGTGGTCAGACATCAGCGCCACAATTCCTCCAGCCAGGAGACAGTGTCCACTCAGGATCTGCTGCGGGTTTCAGTGCCTCGGTGGATCTCAGTGGTGAAATGTGAACCTGACACGCGAGGTCGTTTAGATTGGAAGAACAGGAGACCCCCCCCTTTGGCCCAACTTTTTTTTGGCCTTTGCAGTTTGGATCAGTTTGGTACCTGCAGGCGGTAATGAGTCAGTGTCAGCAGAGCGTGTACTAGACACAAACGAGAGCAAGAGATGGCAAGAGATTAAGCGCCTGCAATCGACGGCATCCCTGCAGTTTTTTTATAATGTGTTTGGAGCGTGCATTGCTTTAAGGAAAGCCAGTAGGCTAGGCAGCAGTTAGTTTCTGCTAACGAAGTGAAGATCTAGGGGGTAGGGCCTAGAAAACTCAATCATGGTTTCATTTCCTGATGGAGACAGTTTTGGCTGTAAATTACCGATGCAGAAAACACAAGTCGTAATGGTAGTGCATCATTTGTATCAGCAAGGTGGTTGTAAAAGATGCCTATCGCTGGTGGTGCTGCTGGTCCTTTGCTGTTGGCTTGCTGGTTTGCTATTGGTGTGCTGCCGGTTGCGGGTCCCTTTGGTCGCAGTATTTTTATACACAGCCTCTTGGTATGGAAATAGTCGCAAAGAACGCGCAAAACACGCTCTTGGCCCAACAGGTTCTACCTAAGTTTTTTGTAGAATGTGTACACATGTTTGTAATTTTGAGGTATAGGATTAATCAACCCCCCTTCAAGGTCAACAAGGTTTGAGATTGAAGGTATTGGACACCACATCCCCCTATATAATAAAGGTGATGACCTGATGATGGATGATGAGACGATGACCTGGACCTGATGATTGATGATGGTTGATGGGATTCTGTGTGGATGTTGAGAGTTTGAACTATGAGAACCATGAGAGCTCTTAGTATGGCACAAGCTTGGTAAGAGCTCTGATCGATGAGAATGATTGATTGATGAGAGGATCAACATGGGAAAAGAGTGGATCAGAATGCTATCTCTCACAGAGATGGTATGTGAAAAGGGTGGATCAAAAGATCAGTTTCACCATGGATCAGTTTCACTGTAGGCAGATATTGGATGCTAAGTGGAAATAAATACTTTTTTTTCCTGGGCCAGCTGGGCTTGATTAATAGCGGGATTAGGGTGATGGAAATGTGGAAAGCCTGGGATTAAATTAGTGTAGTATTGGGGGCTCGAGCTGGGCTTGATTAATAGGGGCCAATATGGGGAGGTTGCTTTACCCTAGGTCAACATTATGTAATGCTGCTGATGCCAGACCAGAGCAGAGTCGGTGAGGCTTGAGTGCTGCAGGGTAAACCCAGAGCCTGTTCCAAGAGCTTTATGTGGCTTGCGCCCGAACGCTTGCACCAGATCTATCGTTGGGAGTGAATCCGGACACATCACATCACTAGTTATCCAGAGCAAAATTGACACACAGCGACAGGTGACGGGTGACGCCAAGATCCACCCGAGGGACATGTGCAACGATGTGCAACATTTCATTTTGTTGTTGTCGTTTTTTTTCTCCAGGGCAGGTTCAATATATAGTTTGTTGTTTAGGGTCTATGGCAACGCCAGCTATTTACCTTAGAACACAATTATAGGGGAAGCTGTGTTGGGTGATTTTGTTCCGGCAGTATGGACCAATGGATACGTCTTGAGTAGATTTAAAGTGGTATATAGTTTGTGTGAAACCTTCTCATGTATATTGAGATGAGATGGACGTGGTGCCTGTAAATCAATAATTAGCAGAACCCAGTTGGTGAATATGGTCTGTACATGTTTCTATGACAATGGGGAGACCTCCCCACGGATTTGGTTTATTGTTGTTCTTCCAGGAGGTTTTAACAATTAATAGGGATACACTCCCATACAAACAAACATTCTCCACCGTCGTCACGTCCAAGGCCTTTGATGAAGCGGCCATAAGACGGCAGCAGGCGGAGCAGGAGGCGAGGCGGAGCAGCAGTTCGCGGCCTTGTTGGGGCGACGTGGACAGATGATCGCGTTCTAAGAGATATAAACCGTATTAAAACAAATGCAAGGCAATACATGACTATAGGCTTTGCGGAATTTGACATTGCCAGTGGTTTCATGTTTCAGCCTTCAGCTGTGTAACAAGGCACTCGAAGCCTTGGAGAGGCAGCGTCAGCGGGAAGCGACTCTTGGAGAATTGGGGTTGCCAAAAAAGCATTGGATCCAGTGCTGACAAAAAGACATGAAGGTTTGTCACGAAATGAGGGGAGTGGAAACCTCGCAGGTGGCCAGGAAACACGCTGCCTACCGCAGGGTCCCTTTTTTCAATTATTAACAAACGAGAAAGACCTGACAACATAAACAATGAACAAGTATCTTGGGAAGATCATACCATATGTGCCCTCCAAATCCCTCCAATGCAATCCTAGTGTGATGGTCGTGGCTGTTCGGGGATGCTTTTTCCGACAAACTGAAGCTTTACTCACAATCGTTTTTCGCTTCTGTTTGGCTGCCCATGCGCCAAATTGATGGCTAAAAATTATATGGCTTTTTCTCCACCTGTCAGGTGAGGGTTGTTAGATTTTAGAAGAGGCCTTATCCTGTGTCTCCTCCTCCTCATCCTCTCCTCATCGTCCTGCGAAGGCGCTGCGTTTTGTGGTGACTTGTCGACACCACCCCCGGCCTAAGAAGAAAAGAAAGAATGTATAAAGCAAGGAAGGGAAGGGAAGGGAAAGGACACGACACGACACGACACGGCAGGACACGACAAGACAAGAAAAGAAAAGAAGCCAACAGGAAAGGAAAGGTAAGGCAAGGAAAGGAAAGGAAGAAAGAGAAAAAGAAAATCTTAGCGAAAAGAGAAGGAAAGACAGACAGACGGACGGACCGACAGACAGACAGACCGACAGAACGAAAGAAAGAACGAGGAAAGGAAAGTAAGGAAAGGACAGGACAGGGAAGGAAAGGAAAGAAAGACTGAAAGACAGAAAGACAGAAGGAAAAACAGAACGAAATTTGAAGATGTGCATGTCTGGATGTGTGGGGATGTCAAGATGTGAAATGTAAACGCGTGCAGATGTGAAGAAGTGTTGGCGTGGAATTTGCAACTCTGGATATGCACGAGTGTAAGTTGTGATTCGTGATGATCTGTAGCACGCCGGCTTGTCATAAAAGAGCCCTTTGTGCAGGCGTTCTCGGGAAAAAGGCGCCGCAGGCAACGCGTACCGACACCGCAGCACAGCAAATGCGTGCCTGGTCTCACTATAATAATCACCACCACTTCCACTCACCACTCCATTTGTGCACAATCCTTCTTGTTGCTTGCGTAACTGAGTTACTATAGGCTCCTACATCCACAGAAGGCGTGTTAACAAACAAATTCTAAGTAAACAAAAGGGAGGAGAGTAAGTAGTTTATACATCATCAGTTACTGTGGAAAAAATCAGCTACTTACTTTTCAACCAACGTTTTCGCCAACCGGACAGCAGATCCGTGTTAACGCTCGGCTTCAACTCCGCAATCTATGCATTTTCCCATATGTTTCCTCCTACTGCGGGTATGTTGCTGGTCCTTTAGTCACTAGTCTAGTTCAACGCAGCCAAATGAAAAAAAAGTGAAACTCTTGGTTTGAACGCAACCAGTTGTGAGTCAGGTATTTTTTTCAACATGCTTGCAAACTTAGACTGGTGTCATCCATGGTTCTTTTATGGTTTTTGTACATTTTTGTGGAACGTTTTTGTAAATTCGCTGAACTTCCGGCAGCCGGAACTGCACCAAGGAATCTGGCCGAAGAGCAAAGGCAGCAACGACTGCTACAGGATTGGGACAGATTGGAGGGATTGGTAGAACGACTTGTCGCACCATGCATCAATTGTTTTTGGGATGAATTCCGGCCAACACATGCACGATCTTGATTTCATTGGTGCTGCTGCTTTGATACCACGCGGCATATCCCAGATTGTAGAGTGGTAGGAATTTAATGTGGAACAGTAACCTTGCAGCACACTCGATAGGGTTCCAAATTAGAGTGGGTGATATTGGTATTTTTATTTTTGTCGCGCCAGGCCAAATTCGAGACTGTCTGTGCTGATGCCTATTTGAACCCAGAGCTCAGCCAAATCATGATCAAGGCTTGAGCAGTGCTTGAGCTGGCTTCAAAAGCCAGGATTGAACTCAGAAGTTGCAATTTGGAGGAATCGGAGAAACATTATATAGAAAATAATGCTATATAATGCTATTATTATAACCCTGGGAGTCAAAGACTATAATAAGAATGGTCTTTAGGGGACCTGAAAGGGAACTTCCTTTACTTCAGACAGTCAAAATATAGTCTTTGGACTTCTAGGGATAATGTATATAACAGACTTAATATCAATGCGTGCTTGCGTTTGTCACTCTGCCCTCCTTTTATCACATCATACCGTTCCATTCGTGAGTACATTGGATCCCCAATCAGCCAGTTGTGTTGCAACAGCGGCCGTCGGCTGCCAATCACTGACCCAAAACAGCGCTTTGCATTGCAAGGTGCTGTAATGAGATGTAAATAGGATCTTCAGTAGATGATTCCATATGATCAGTGGACCAGTGGATTTCAAGAGCCCTTTTTTGGTGTGCACTTGAATCCAAAATGAACAGACTTCTATTTTTGTAGATGCTCACCCGGAAGGCTGGGATTCTTTGATGTTTAGCTTGGATTCGCACGATCCAACAGAAGACAACTGACTGGCCGAAGCTTTCAGGGTGCTGTGCTGGCCTATCCCATGGATCTCAAGGCGTTCGGAGAGCGTCGTTCGAAACATGGGGATGGATGGATGGGTGTTCGCATCAACTGCAGAGACTTCATCTTCACAAAGACACCATTGAAGCCTGGAACGACTGGGAAAGAAAGCCTGTCATTGAGATTTTCCAGGCTTTCATTGAGACTTCATCTTCACAAAGGTGTTCAGCTGTGATGAAAGCCTGGAAAGCCTGGAAGACCCAACTCTTCTCACCTGTGAAGACCTTCTCACCTGTCATCCGTCACCTGAACAAAGAACGCCTCTTATATTAAGTTCCAAAAGATGGTGGCATCTGCAAAATCATGCTGGCTTGGGCTCTTGCCAAAAGATTCCCAAAAGCTTTCCAAACGGACCCTTGGCTGTCTTGACAGCCTATCACGGATCAACTCCCTCAGCCACGACTGGCCCCACTGGCGGAATTCCACCGATCAGGGAGAACACATCATCCTGATCCTTCAGCTGCTACGAGCCTGGGGCCACTCATTGGTGGATGACGAGGGCAACCACGTGGAGCAGGCTGGTGGACCACGTGCGAAGTCGATGGGCCAAGCTGGGCCAGATCAGCTAAACCTAAACATTTGCGTTGAACCTGTTAAAAGCATGATGACACATCCTCATGGCGGCTATTCTGTCCTTCTCATCCATCCTCAAACATGCCTCCAGCTCGCATGCGCTTTGTGGCAGCGCTGGGCACGCAGAAACTCACTAATGAGCTTGTAGGAAGGTTTTGCTACATTTTGCTGCCTCCTCAAAATCTTTGTTGCATGCGTTTGGCCACAAATCCTTTGCATGAAGTTTTGGCGCTCAGGACGAGTGGGATGAACGAACAAAGGAGCTTTGGATCGAGTGGCGAAAAGCTCATGGGCCACAGACACTTGGCTGCATAATGCTGCATGTGTATATATATATACTGCGTGTATACATATATATATACATAATCATATATATATATATATAATAGTTATTATCAAATTTCACGAGGTCCTGGTTCCCAGGGCCGGCCTTTGTTTTTAACCACTGCAGCAGATTGACACCCTGGGCAGCTCACATTGCGTCTCACTTCTGGGCCCCCCTGTCAAATTTTGTTGCAACCACGATGGATTCCCTGAAAAGTTATCACCCATTAACCATTAGTCCTATGCATATGGCCGACAGAGGGGGTTCCTTCAAGTTCCGGGAATCACAACCCTCTTGTGTAAAGCATGCAACTGGCAGTGCCGAGAAGACGCCGAGAAAGAAGATTAATGATTATTGAGGGCCAGCTGGGCAGGTTTTTTGGTTGCGCTCCGTTGGCTTGTTTGTTTGGTTGGCTGGTTGTTTTCTTACTTGTTTGGCTTGGCTTGGTTTGGGCTGATTGGTTTGTTTTGGCTTTTGCTTGTTTGCTTTGTGTTGTTTGGGTTAGTTTTGTGTGTTTTTTGTTTTGGCTTGCTTGCTTGATTGTATTGTTTCGCTTGGCTTGGTTGTTTTGTTTTGTTGTCATGCTTGTTTGACTGTTTCTTTATTTGGTTGGCTGGGTTGGTTTGGCTTGATTGGTGTGTTTTGTTTTTTGGTGCTTGTTCTGTATTGCTAGGGTTAGGTTTGCTTGTTTTTTGTTTTGGTGTGCTTGCTTGCTTGATTGTTTTTTGTTGCTGCTATGCTTGCTTGATTGGTTGCTTTTTATGTGTTTTGCTTGGCTTGGTGTTGGCTTGTTTGTTTGATTGTTTTGTTTCGTTTGGCTTGGCTTGGGCTGGGTCTTGGCTTGTTGTTTTGTGTTTTTGTTTGTTGTGGTTCGTGTCGGCTTGGTTTGTTTGTTTTGTTTGAGTTTGGCTGCTTGTTTTGTTTGGCTTGGGCTTGTTGTTTTGTGTTGCTTTGTCTGGTTGTTGTGTTTGGCTTCACCGTTCACCTGCAACGAAAAACATTCCCCGCATGTGGCCAGTTTGTGCTCATTTTTCACCTCCAGGTCAGGGTCGTTAGATTCTATATACAACTTCAACCACAAGCCACAACCACAAACAAACAACACACAACAACAAACACACAGTCACCACATGTCAAGCGCAAACACAACCACAAACCCAAGCACACAATACAAACACAACCACAAACCGACCACAAACACACAACACGCAATGACAACCACAAAGGCGCATTCACAGCACACAACCACAGCACACAACCACAACACACAACCACAAACACACAACCACGACACACAACCACAAAGGCATACAAAGTTACTTTTACAGCACACAACTACAGCACATGACCACAACACACAACCACAATCACAGCGCACAACCCGGGGACCCACGAACAAAGTCGAGAACCACAAACTCACGACCATGGCAACATGCTGCTCCTCACTTTGGCATGAAGACAAATGATTGCAATGTCACGGTGGGGATCATTGGGATCACTCGAAGTGCAGTAAATAACTTTATTAATTAAGCGCGCGTGCTTTTGGCCCTTTCTGATTGTCGATCACCAAGTTCCTGGCGGTCATACAGTTTGTGGAGACGTTGAAGCCTAAACCCTAACAGCCTAAACGCCTAAACGTCGCTCATCATCGTGAGGTTGACTTCAAGGAGACGGACTACATACAGTCGCGTACGCAGCGGAGGCCCACTCTGGCCAAAGGCTTCGCACAGTCGCAAAGAGCGGCGGGAAGCCAGAGATCTCTCCGGAGCAGAAGCGCCAGACAGAATCAGAATGGCCGGTGGTCATGGCCAGCGCTTCATGGTCATGTCTTGGACGCAGACAGTAGCAGCGAGAGCATCAAGCTGCTTTGCAATCGCCGGGCGATCTACGTCGACGTCATGGACAGTGAGGCCATGCAGCTGAAATCGAGACAATGAAAAGCTGCTGCAGAGGCTCAGCGGCCCTGCGTGGACATGGAATGCTCCGCTGGAGGATGGTTGTCAATGGTTGTTGCAGGTGATAGCTCTCTGCTGGAGGATGGTTGTCAATGGTTGTTGCAGGTGATAGCTCTCTGGCGAAAGCCTAAGGCTTTAAGGCTAGCTGCCAGTCGACTACAGTCGGCCGCAAACAGGAAAGCCGAAAATGATGGGCCGACATGATCAAATGCCACGAGTCAGGAGTCTTTGAGTGAGACTGAGACCCCATCGACGGCGCCGGTGTGCCACGATTCATTCCAAACATAAGACGTTGCTTCCACCTGGGCTAAAGCCTGAGAAGACTGGCGCTGACAACCGCCGGCGGATCTTGTCTTGTCAGTGGATCTGCGCGACCCAAATCTCCAAGGGAGATCTTCGAGGAGCTGCGCTGGGCTACGCTACAGTGCCGCGACCCCCTCCCTCCCCCACCCACGTTTCTCTGCCGGGTGGACCCCCTCAGAGAAACTCTTTGACATGGTTTGGCACCAAATGCGCATCATGTGTGACCCTATCACACAGCCAGTCAGGCAGAAGCAGCTCCAATGCTTACAGGGGGTTTGAAGGAAGAGGGTTTTGTGGAACGCAACGCATTGGCAGAGGTAACGGCCTTGGCTTGGTTCCCGCCCCATATGGTTGGGAACCTTTGGTGCCTTGAGCAACCGGCCAAGTCAGTGCTGCCCCTGACTTCATCAATGGCCAGCGTTTAGTCTTGCGAAACATTGACATACTCTGGACCTTTTGGAGCTCGAACTTGCAAGCCACTGCAAGTGTGGTCCACTTTTCGGAGATTTGACTCCTTGGCGCGGGAGAAGCCTGCCTGCGCTGCTGAGGAGTGTGATTCCTTGATTGTGGTGGGCGTGGAACTTGCGAAACCTTCACTGGAAAGGGTGAGGTTGTCACAGAAAGCGGTCACTACCCCGAACTCCTTTGTGAAGATCTCCAAGGTGTATCGGAGGAATCTGGAAGGGGAAAGAACAAACCTGGAAGTTCGTGGAGCCTGCAACTCTGAAATGGCCGTGGCTGCATCCAAAAGCTTCCAGGCGCCCGCGCAAAGGTCGAGCGGGCGAATGCAACATATGGGTTAGACGTATTATCTGGATGTTTTGGGGTCGAGGTGAGCTTGCTAAGAAAGCCCAGCGCCCTTTCTTTCGAAAACATGCAGCCAGTATTTGATATTTCGTGTGTGTGTGTGTGAAACTTCCGGGGTCTCTTTCAGCGATAGCACATGTTGACACGGTTGACGACAAGTAATGACATCAGCGACCGCTGGACATCGCATGGCGTGTTGTTCAATTTTGCTATGCCCCACTCAAGACCGAGTATTGTCTCAAGGAAGGCTGACGCTATCCAAATCCATGCCATGGATTCTCTTGGGTGAGAAAAACCCAGAGGATTTTTAAAACGGAAATAGCGAATAAAGTGTAGAATTTGCTTGTAGAGCTGCACCTAATGCGCATACCCCGCGCATCCTCTGCTTTGATAGTGATTCTCAATCTCATCTGATAAACAGTTTTACACGACGACGTGCCCCAACTTCCACAAGCCCGCCTACGAACGTCGTGTTGCGCGCCTGGGCACGTTGCGCGGTGAGTGGCTTGCGAAAGGAACTCTTGCTGTAGTCTCGAGAAAGGTTTCCATAGTCTTCTTGTTGAGAGACAGTTACAACCGTCTTCTTGGTAAGAGCGCCGACCGTTCAGGATAATGAGCGCTGAATCTCTCACCTGCATCACCACGAAAAGGTTCTGTTTGAAGGTTGAACATGTTCAAGCTTTTTCGGCGAAGACCTCTTTCGCTTCACAGCCGTTTCGTGAAAGCCTCCGTGAAAGGAGTTATGTTGCAGAAAACACCGCAGAACGCACGCGAAGGCTTTCGCAAAAGGGCTAAGGAGTCATGAGCTTTCGCCCGCCAGGTTTTGCCGAGCTGCCCTTTGCCAGTCCCACACCGTCATCCCACGGCATTGTATCTCTGAGGCCTTAGCTCAAAAGTCAAAAGGGACCTATATCGTTCTGGGTCCTGGGATGCAAACGGACCGGGTAGCAAATTTAGCTCCGTTACAAATTTACAAACAAATACTGTACCCTGATCTGCCAAAAGTCTCTATTCAATTTTAAGGTGTTTTCTACCACGCTTAAGGACTATAGTCGTTAATTATTTCAAGGGGCTTTCGTTGGAAAACTTCGAAATGAGTGCTCGGTCAAGACCTTTGGCGCAGTGAGCACTGGGTCATGAACTGTGACGCAGTGAGCATTTGCGCCTCTTGCACGCGCCCACATAAGCCTGCAGCCGCCTGAGCATAGGACCTTTCTTGACTGTAGGCAGCCATGAGCGGCGGTCGCGCGCGCAACACGGCAAGCGCAGAAGACCTATGCAAGCTGATGCGTTTGCATGTGGGCCAGTTGCACGATGAGAAATACAATATACAAGCCGAGCAACTAATGAGGACTTGGTGGCAGAATACGAAGGCCTCATGTTGGACACCCTGGCTTTGACAGAGCGAGCGCCCCAACCGCTCAGCCTTGGAAGCTGCTGCCAAGAAAGCGTTTGCTGGAGCGCAGGCCTCTGAGAAGGCAATGTTTGCCCAGCAGTTCCACAAGGACAAAAGTGCTTGCAAGCATCACACACACACACACACTCTTTTGACTCTTTGAATTACAGGGTCAAAGACACGTTGCAAGCCACTCTTTGGCTACAAAGACGATGGCGTGGCCCGGGTTCACAATATATGACCATTGTCCGAATACCGAACAGGTGGTGAAATCCATGTACATCGATAACCATTCATAACCGTATTGCCCAGTCATTTTGGATCGCCCATGATCTTGCAACGCGCGCACTAGACCGGAGATCTCCGGAATGAACGTCGGTACCACCTCTGCCCCACCGATCATGTGAGCACCGTCCCGTCGAGAACGTCCGCAGGTCGCCGATGGATTCGGGAGGCAGGTGTGATGTGATTTTTTCTCTCGGTGGGGCTTTTGACGGCAAAAGATATCAGAGTGGTTAGTGTCACATATTTGTGGCAACTATAGGATCTGTGGATCTCTGAACGCATCGTGCGCCCAACAGACCCTGCCGTTGTCGCCCTTCAAGGGGAAAGTGGGCGTCTCAGACTCAGTGCTTAGCACAAGTAGTACGACTCACATAAATCCAAGACCGTCCGTTGATGCACAAGTTGTTGTACATTTCAGATGTCTGCGCCCTTACCTGGAAAATGCTCGAGCTGCTAGAAGTGCTCGTTTCAGGAGAAAGTGCTCGAGGCTATCCCCTATGCCGCTGCTGGCCTGCTTCTGCTGCTGCTGGTCTGCTGGTGCGGTGCTGCTGCTGCTGCTTCTTGGTGGGCTGCTGCTGCTGCTGCTGTGGCGTCGGCGGTGGCTGCTGCTTGGTGTTCTGCTGCTGCTGCTTGGTCTGCTGCTGCCTCTGCTGCTGCTTGGTGGGCTGCTGCTGCCGCTGACTGACCTTCGGTTGCTTACCAACGGCTTACACCAAACAACGGTTTGCGCCAACCACCGTTTACACCAAACCACGCTTTACACCAACCACGGTTTACGCCAAACCACTAGCTGCTTTGCTGCTTTGCTGCTGCTGCTGCTGCTGCTCTGCTGGTCTGCTGCTGCTGCTCCTGCTCCTCCTGCTGCTGCCGCTGCTTGGTCTGCTTGGTCTGCTGCTGCCGCTGCTGCTGCTGCTGCTTCTGCTTGGTCTGCTGCTGTTGCTGCTGCTTGGTCTGCTGCTGCTGTTGCTGCTGCTTGGTCTGCTGCGTCTGCTGCTGCTCCTGCTTGGTCTGCTGCTGCTGTTGCTGCTGCTTGGTCTGCTGCTGCCTTTGCTGCTGCTTGGTTTGCTGCTGCCGTTGCTGCTGCTTGGTGGGCTGCTGCTGCTGCTGCGGCGGCGGCGGCGGCTGCTACTTGGCGGTCTGCTGCTCCAGCTGCTGCCGCTGACCTTCGGTTGCTGGCCAACCACGCCTTACACCAAACAACCCTTTCACCAAACACGGTTTACACGAAACCAATAGCTGCTGCTGTTGGTCTGCTGCTGCTGGTCTGCTGCTCCTGCTGGTTTGCTGCTGCTGCTGGTGCTGCTGCTGCTTGCTGGTCTGCTGCCTCTGCTGCTGCTCGGTGGGCTGCTTCTCCGGCGGCGGCTGCTGCTGCTGCTGCTACTTGGTGGGCTGCTGCTCCAGCTGCTGCCGCTGACCTTCGGTTGCTTACCAACCACGGCTTGCGCCAACTAACGGTTTGCGCCAACTGCCGTTTACACGAAACCACGCTTTACACCAACCATAGTTTACAGCAAACCATAAGCTTTTTGCTGCTGTTTGTCTGTTGCTGCTGCTGGCTTTTCTATTGCTGCTGCTTGGTGGTCTGTTGCTGCTGGCTGCTGCTTGGTGGTCTGCTGCTCCTCCTTTACCTGCCCTCCTTCGGTCCGTGAAGTTGACATGGATAAGCGCCAGCCGCTTTGCCCGAAATGGAAGTTCTTAAAATTGTCCAGAGTCCAAACTGTCAAACGGTCCAGTGAACATAATGTCTTCAACTGATCAAATTGTCCAG